CATAAACAGTAGTTTCATTTCACCACCTTGAAGAAAACCACTCGGAGTCTGTTAATAGTGGACAGTTCGTCTCCACTATTACAGTGGTGACCCCGTACGAACACCGAGGGGGAAGATCCGGTACGAACACCAAGAAGGAACACCCTGCGACGTACCACTACTATTGCACGAACACCGCGAAGGAAACCCGTACGAACACCGAGAAGGAAGACTTCAGTTTATATAAAATCAGTGTAATCAAGCCGTCATTATGGAGCAGGAGGCAAACACATATACATCAAACCCGGTAAAGGAACCAGAAATCGCCGGTATATCTCTATCGTTAAGAATACCACCGTTTTGGAGAGACAAACCACGACTTTGGTTCGTCAGTTTTGAAGCCGCAACGAATGGTTTAAAGAAGAGCCAAGCGCAATTAGCACAGATGGTGATAGCCCAACTTGAGAAACAAGACATCGAACAAATTGCGGACCTGTTGTACAACCCACCAGCAGTCGACCAGTATAATTCACTGAAGGATCGTCTGATCTCCGCATATGAAGAATCCGACAGTCGACAGCTACAAAAACTTCTATCAGAAATAGAACTTGGAGACCAGAAACCCACACAACTCCTACGCAAAATGCGTACTTTGGCGCGAGATAAAGTTCCGGATTCAACACTACGGCTAATGTGGGTAAACCACCTACCACCACATATTCGATCGGTAATAGCAGTCAGCGAAACATTCAGCACGCAGACGAAGCTCGACGAACTGGCACTCCTGGCGGACAAGATGATCGAAAACAGCAGTAGCTCACACATATCGATCATCGAAGGCACTTCAACAAAGGCCAATGATACCCAGTTTCTTCTCGAAGAAATTCGGAAGCTATCATTCGAAGTCGCCGCGCTCAAAGCTTCCCAGCATCATACCTTTTACCAGCAACAGTACAACCAGCGCAATCAGCAACACCGAAGATCACCTTTTCGTCGCAGCCGCTCTGCAAGTAGAAGTCGAATAAGCTCAACATCAAGATCCCCTTACTGCTACTATCATCGACGTTTCGGGGTCGAGGCAAGAAAATGCACAGCACCGTGTACATTCAAAAATGAAAATACGAATACGGAAAACTAACTAGTACGCTCGATGCGACGGGATCCAGCGTAACAGCAAAGTCCTACCGTCTTTTCGTCACCGATAAAAAAAGCAAGCTTACTTTCCTTATCGACACCGGAGCAAATATCTCAGTGTTACCGCCGAAGCAAGGACAGAAGTTGAAGCCACTAGATTTTCAACTCTATGCAGCAAACAATACGGTTATTCCTACATATGGAGAAAAAACAATGGAACTTGATTTTAATCTACGCCGACCATTCAAATGGAGATTTATCGTCGCTAAAGTCAGCAAACCAATCATCGGTGCTGATTTTCTTCAACATCACCAGTTGGTCGTCGACATCAAAAATAGAAGAATCATCGACGGGAAAACCAATCTTGCATCTCAGTCTTTTGTACAAGCAACCAATCTGCCCACAATAAGAAGCATAGATGTGCAACAACCGTATCACAAGATCCTCGAAGAATACCCTGGTATCACAAGAATAACTTCAATGAAATTAACACCGAAGAACGACGTTGAGCATTTCATCGACACCAATGGACCACCACTTCATTGTCGTGCACGTCCAATCGCACCACACCTATACGAGCAAGTTCGAAAGGAATTCGAAAACATGATTGAGCAAGGAATATGCCGTCCAAGCAAAAGCCCTTGGTCATCACCACTTCACATTGTACCGAAGAAGAACGGAGAATTACGAGTTTGTGGAGATTACAGAAGACTGAATTTATTACCACTCCTGACCGCTACCCAATACCGCGAGTCAGGGATTTCACTCATCAACTATCAGACAAGACTATATTCTCCACCATCGATCTCAACCGAGCTTACCAACAAATAAGAGTCCGCGATGAAGACATAGAGAAGACAGCAATAATTACCCCAATGGGATTATTCGAATTCCCAAGAATGATCCCAGGATTAAAGAACGGAGGTCAAACTTTCCAAAGATTCATACACGAAGTACTTCATGGACTGGATTTCGTTTTCGCATTTATTGATGATCTCCTTGTTGCAAGCCCTGATAAAGAAACGCACGAAACCCATCTACGCACCGTGCTACAGCGATTAGAAGACAACGGAATCACAATCAACCCTTCGAAATGCATATTTGGACAGCAAGAAGTTCAATTTCTTGGTTTCACCGTCAGCAAGGAAGGAATAAAACCGCCTGCCGAAAAAGTCAGAGCAATCATCGATTATGCAAAACCTAAAACTATCGAAGAGCTAAGGCGTTTTCTTGGGATGATAAATTTTTACAGAGAACACATACCTAAAGCCGCTGAAATCCAAGCACCACTTCACGCCTACCTTCACAACACGAAGAAAAAAGATAAAACGTCAATCGAATGGAACGATGAAGCCACGAAGGCATTTGAAGCTTGTAAAATTGCGATCCAAAATGCAGCTTTACTCGCTCACCCATCACACGAAGCAACCCTTGCTATCTTCAGCGACGCATCCGATCTCTCAGCAGGAGCAGTTCTCCAACAATACAGCAATGGGAAATGGCAACCACTTGGATATTTTTCGAAGAAGTTCTCCGATACTCAACGTAACTACAGTACATTCGACCGAGAGCTACTCGCTATTTACATGGCTATCAAGCACTTCAGAAAAACGTTCGAGGGTCGAAACCTGATCGTTTTTACCGACCACAAGCCATTAACATATGTACTTCCAAAGAAACCATCACTATCGGAAACACCACGAAGAGCAAGACAACTTATTTTCATAAGTGAATTCACGATCGACATACGTCACATCAGTGGAAAGGACAACATAGTTGCCGACGCACTCAGTCGCGTACCAATCGACAGTGTAACGTGCCCTACATCAATCGACTATCATAAGATCGCCGCAGCACAAGACAGAGATAGTGACAACATAAAACATCTATCGAAGCAAGGTAACTTGTCCATCAAGCAAGTTACAATGCCAATGACGCATCTACCTATATACTGTGAAGCCTCAACGACAACCATGCGACCATACATACCAGAAGAATGTCGTCGCGAAGTCTTCAATGCACTGCACAACATTAGTCATCCAGGTGTTAGAACAACAAGAAAAATCATCACTGAAAAATTCTTTTGGCCTGCAATGCAAGCGGATGTTGGCAACTGGGCGAAGCAATGCATTCAATGCCAAAAATGCAAAGTACAAAGGCATACATCAAGTAGTCTAGCTACATTTCCACCCACGGAGAGATTCGAACACTTGCACGTTGACATCGTTGGACCATTACCTACTTCACCGCAAGGACATCGTTATCTCGTAACAATGATCGACAGAACAACAAGATGGCCAGAAGCAATACCTACCGATGATACTTCAGCCGAATCCGTCGCGAAGATAATTTATGAAAATTGGATTACTCGTTTCGGATCACCTAAAACCATCACAACGGATCAAGGAAGGAATTTCGAAAGCAACCTATTCCTCAAACTTCTTCAAACTATGGGAATACAGAAGACGCGTACAACAGCATACCATCCTCAGTCAAACGGAATAATCGAACGATGGCATCGTACATTAAAGACTGCACTCAAAACTCGTTTATCTCAACATACAAAGTGGATTGATGAGCTACCTACAGTGCTACTCGGACTACGAGCAACACCGCGTGCAGACACTAGTCTTAGCGCCGCTCAGCTAACCTACGGCTGCAGCATAAGGCTGCCGTGTGACTTCTTCAGTTCAGCAGCGTCAAACAAACAAGAAATGGATTACGATTTCGTAACTAAACTTCGAGAATCAATTAACAAAGCCTTATCGTTGAAATGCACCGAAATGCAATCACACAGAAATAATAAATCAGTATTCATTCACCAAGATTTGAAAACATGCAAACAAGTTTTTGTAAGAAACGACGCAATGAAAAAACAATTTCAACCTACCTACGATGGACCGTATAAAGTATTAGAGAGAAATAGCAAGACTTTTAAACTACAAATACCCGGAAGGAAATCTACGATTATATCGATCGACCGACTAAAGCCAGCCTATATTATTAACGAGGATACTGCAGAGGATTCATCATCATCATCAAAACCACCAGCGAGGAAGCTTGAAAATTCATCATCTACATCAACCCAGTTGAAACCTATTTTAAAAACTACGAAATACGGGCGAGTCGTCAAGCCTCCGGTACGCTTTCGCTGGGGGAGAGTGATGTAGCAGCCAGATTAATCAAACCGAAACGGGAATAAATAATATATACTCCGCTGCTACCATAACGCGGAAGGCGAGAATAAATAAAAAAACATTTTATTTCCTAATTATTCTTGGCTACTGAGATACTGCGGACTGTATATAGATAATTTGACGTTCTTATAAAGAAACAAGAAGCAGCCGCAAATATCATTCAGCGCCACACCGACTTCACACGCCGCTATCGTCACGTATCCGTCGACCAATGGTGAGCCGTTTCCTCAACGCCGCAGTTCGTTTCCTCTTGCTGTTCCGGAGCTGTATTCCACACCGCCGCCGCCCGCCGACTACGCGTGCGCACCGATCTGCATGTCTTATATAGCCCGGTCCAGCGACGTAGCTTCGTGAACAACAAACAAGTCTCACGCCGGGAAACGAAACGTAGATAATTGTATATTTTAAATAGTTTTCATTGGTCATAAAATAAGCAATATAATTGGCTAGGCAAAATATTAATTGTTACCATTGGCAAATCAATAGTGAGCCAGCCATATAAATATAGGCAAGGTTGATGCAAAATATATTCCATTCCGAATCCCATTCGACAGTACATTCATAAACATAAACAGTAGTTTCATTTCTCCACCTTGAAGAAAACCACTCGGAGTCTGTTAATAGTGGACAGTTCGTCTCCACTATTACAGGTACAATCACTTTGAAATAAAATTTTAGGAATCTTAGCCTCTAATTATTGCCTATGAAAGGATGTGAAACAGTTGCCTTTTCTGTTAAGACAAAGATACACGTTGCATTTGTCTTGGATCTTTTTGTACACCCTTCCATTCTACAGGATCGAGGGTTTTCGATCTCGTCAAATACCGGGTAATGTTCATAACCATCGTGACGTTTCGTCTCTGAAGGTACATTAGCCGGTCGGTATCTCTTGGCAGGAATATTCGGGTCGACATTTTCCGGATCTTGAGCCTCCAAACCTTCCATGTTTTCAACAGGATCTTGTTCTGGCCTTGGACGATCAGGGGTATTGGTAGTACCATCAGCTACTTGCAATTTGAATTGAAGTAAGTCAAAGACTTGGCCCCTATGTACGTGAGCCGTCTGGCAGTGTATTTTGTATAAACGCCAAGCATTTGCGACTGCAAGATCAAAAAAATTTAACATGATCTTCAAAGTCCATTTTCTGGTCTTCATAAAAGTTCGATAATACTCGATTGTTTTGTCGAGGACGTCAACTCCTCCCATGTTCCGATTATAATTGGCAATGATAAGGGGCTGCCTGACATCGATGTACGCATTCTTCTTTTTATCCCATCGCTTCACGAAAATATGATCGTCTGCCGAAGTGCAATTGGATGTCGCCAGAACGGATTTATTGTCCATCCAGTGCACAATTACAACACCATTATTTACGAACTGTTCAGTATCTCCTCTGTTCATTTCATGGTCCATTTTAAAAGTCATATATTCTTTGTCAGGTATTCTGTTCATCATAACCGTTCCTGTGCCATGCATTCCTTTTTCAGATAATCTTTCCAAGAGAGGTATTGACGTGAAATAACGATCGAAGTAAATGCAACTTCCTGGGGGAATGGATTTGGAAAGGTGCAAAATAACTGCTGCACCCACACCCAGAGATTTATCTGTGAATGGGGTGTTAGCCCCATGATAGACTTCAAAGTCGAGCATTAGACCATCGCTTGTTGTGGCTACAAAAACTTTCAAGCCGGTGGGTCTAGGTTTGGACTTCATGACTTGGCGTAGACGTAGACCTTTTGGGCACAAGCCGCAAAAGGGGATCATTTGTTCGTCTATAGAATAGTAACCCGGTAGCAATTCTATTTTCTCACAGGCATTTTTTACCTGATTTAATACCGGTTGTACTTTCCATAGACTGTTTTTATTACCAACGGGGGCGATATCCTCTTCCAACACACGAAAATTTGTACGCAACAGCTTCAGTCGGTCTCTTGGAATGATATCACCTACTAATGCCAGTCTCATTTCTTGCCTCCAGTACATATGAAGTCGTGGATAAGTTATGCACCCCATTATAAAATGCACACCAATGAACTTCATTTCTACAGGATTAGGATGAAGAACCCTTCCAGTTTGCTTCAAGTAGTAATTATTTGTGCAGTAACTAGCTTTCTCATAAAATGCATCGTCAAAATAGTCCTCGAAGTATTCGAGAGGCGTTCTAATTGTTTGTTGTTCCCGTGGCGGAAAATTATGTTCTTTTTGGTCAAATGGAATAGATTTCCTTAGACTTCGCCTAGACGGATCCCTGTTGCGTTGAGCTGCCTCGGATTGAGTACGAACGCTAGGTGGCGGATTACCAGATAAATCAGGCAGCTGATCATTTCTACTCATGTGGTCCTTCGTGCGGTACCGAGAAGTACCATGAGATGTGCTTGGTGCGCTTGATGAACGATCAGGTAGATGATGCCGGCGACTTACAGAAAGACCGCGTTTAGAGACACCACGATTTCGTTGTGAAGGTCCTCGACTTTTTAAATTTCTGGTACCTGAATGTTAGTGATTTCTTCTTCTTGCTCGCTGTTAGAAATATCATCGTCCGAATACGACTGACCCGCCACCCAATCTGGTACAGCCTCAATGCCTTCCTCTTCATGACATTCCTCATCTTCGAAACCCTCTATCTCAGACTCGTTTCCGTCTGCTATCAATTCTAGTAAGTATTCCGAGGTTAATGTTCTTTCTGAAACAGAAAAAAGAGCATTTTGTAATTTTTTTACCGATTAAAAACATTAAAAACATTGATCTAATTTTTAATCAACATAAATTTTAATAGACGAGTTAAAGCCGGACACGTACTATCGTGCGTGTTTGAACTAACAACCAAGTATCTTCGTGTCCGATAGAGGTATGCATTGAACTATAGTTGTCTCATTGACTTGACTTTATTACCTATTAAAATCGCACAATCAATGTAGTCAATCACTATCAAAAATATTTTTAAACATTACTTACTTTTTCCACGCGCGTCGATCAGCTGCACCGCCATTTTGAAAAGGACAGAAATCCGCGACAACTTCTCACAAGTATAACCTTTGCGGCAAAGTTTACACTATACTAAACGCACTACCGTGTGATACCGGCCGCGTCTCGTAAAGTTGATCGAGTGCGCGAAAATATTTTTGTAAAGTTGAACGCACGATCGTATAAGAGCGTCGTTAAAGGGATAAATAATTCAAAATTAGGTTTCAGATCACTGTGGACAGTTGATTTCATTACCTTACATATACGAAAAACAGAAAAATAAGAAAGAAATGTTTGTTCCAATAAATAATCTTTATTTGGAGGGGTTTAGAAGTAATGTAGTAAAAAAATTCTTTCCTTTTTATATAAAAATAAAACTGATATTTTATGGTGCAAGTAACGTAAAATGCAAATAATGTAAACATTTTGCAAACGACTTTCAATAAGAATTATTTATAATATATCTTTAAAAATATGTATATTCTTTTCTATTTATTCTAATCTATAAGATTAAATATTTAAAGCACGAAATCCTATTAACGTTTCTCTGTTGTACACAGAACTCCCATTAAAAAAATAGAGCTATAAACCGTGTAATAGCGGTGTACGAATACCTACTATCAATCCCTTCATTATCCTGTGGGTTTCGTAAATGGTGACAAAGAGAAACAAACGGGCATAGATAGCACAGTTTTCCTAATAATAACTAGTAAATAAAGAACACTCGGTTGTCAATTCGCCTGTCCGGTGTGAAAACTATGACAAATATGCCCTCTATTATATCTATGAGGGAGGCCTATGTTCAACAGTGGATTTTAATAGTATATATTGCGGTAACGGTAACATTAGATATATTACCTTCTACAGGGGTAGGCGGGTTGACAACTGAAGGTACATTTTTTATTTTTGAAGTAAAACTTCTTTACGCACGCTTGACTTAGGGAGTATACTGACGACTGCGTGATGAAAGCGTTACGAAAAGTGTGATCGGGCGAGGCGAACGGGAGTTGAGTGGGGGATATAAGCCAGCTCATAGCCAGTTATTTTTCGTAATTTCATTTCGTTTTGAAGAATTTTATGAATTGATATTTCGTTCAGTACATTATATATATATACAGATAGAGCTAAAGAAGTTTTACTTCAGTCGTGTGGTCATAAGCACACTCGTTTTTCTAATTGTTATAAGGAAGACGCTGCTGCGCGTCTCTTGATTTGTTTCCTTCTGTTGCCTGATTATTACTCGAAAGAAATACGTAACGTACTATACGATTCTTTATACTACTAACATTGCGAAATCGAAATCAACTTAGTTATACATATACATTGAAGTTTGTGTGATTTAGTCTTTCTCTATTAATAATGAGAAATATAATGAGCCGTGGTAGCTCGCTGGTTAGGACTCGCTGTAAATTTAACAGTCCGCAAGTAAACCGGGTCCGATCCCCGCCGGCCCCAATGAAATTATAAATTGCAATTTGTAGTGCTCATTTACCACGTGCTCGGCGGTGAAGAAAAACATCGTGAGGAAACCTCCAAACAAAATATTTCGAAAACATGTGAAGTTCGGCAACACGCATAGGGCAGCGCGGCGGACATTTCCTTGCCCTAAAAAGCCTATAGGCTGTAAGTTTTTAGCTTTGACTACCTATTAATATATAACTTGCAAGCAATAAGTTTGTTCGATCGTGAAACGTACCCCACTATCGTTTGACTCCGAAACAAACTAAGGGCTTATTATTAATTAAGGGCTTCCAATAACGTTTCGTTTTGTAAATGATATTATAATTCTTTCTTAAGACTGTGATGAATATTTTACTCTTAACATTTTATAAGGCCGCTGAATATAAAGTATATTATGTTTGTTTATCGTACTTAACGTTACCGTTTAGTTAAAAAACTGATGGTGACTGATGGGCGTACATTACGCGTTCATGCAGGCGCCAATCACTGCATTACACGGTGGGTTATTCGTCAACCACAACCGTGATTGTTGTAAAACTGACAGCCTGCATGAGCGTGTAATGTACGCATTAGAGTCTATTAAAGTTCACAGCTGAACATAGGCCTCCACAATAGATGGGTTCATAGGGGGGATATTTGCTATAGTTGCCACGCTTGGCAAGCGGCTTGGCAACCGCAATTATTTTTATTTTTAGTCTTTATAAAAAAGACACCTGCCTATCTTCTGATTCGTTTCTCTGCGTCGCATCTTACGACACCCACGGGTTGGTATGGGGAGCTATGAATAATCCGAATAACGAAATATTTTATTTATTTATCATTAAAACGCATATTACCGAACCATGGGCAATGATGATGCAGCAAATCCACTAACTCAAAGTCGCAGCGAACAATGGATATAGCTTGAGCAGGTTTTCGCTGAAAAAATTCACTTAAGAGCACATAGCACTAAATGCAGTGGATGACGAGCTTATATAAACTTTATGTTGAGCGCTTCATTTTGCCAGATCTTCGATAACAACATAATAAGTAATAACAAAAAATTAATTGGCTGATGGTGATGATGATGATAATGATGATGATGGTGTCGATGATGATACAACATAAATAAAAGAATGCTAATCATTATTTAAACAATAAAATTTAATCCAAACAAAATATATCGCTAGGTTGTAGTTTTTGTTTTGTTTACAAATCTTCTGAGCTAACAAATTAAAATGCAGCCTGCGTTATTAATTTAATCGCCCAACACCCTCAAAAAGACGTAAGTAACTAAAAAAAATTCTGCTAAACGGAGATTAGGGCCGATTTGGTTGAATAATCTTCTTACCATATAGGTATGGAAAGGGATTGCGTAGATGCTTCTTTATAAAGTGCAATTAAGTTCCCTAAAATAGTTATTTATGTCATAGTTAAGCGAAGAATATTCTAACAACTTCCCAGAAGTGAAAGGAGGCCTGTGCCCAGCAGTGGGACGTATATAGGCTGTAACTTCAACTTTTTTTAATAGTTTAAAACTCTTTGGTGTTAACAAAATCGCTTTTTAATTCAAACAAAATTCTGCCTACAATATGTGACGTTTTATTTATTAAAAATTTAAAAAATAAACAATAATAGTTTTAATAAAATCAATACATTGCGTTCTTTTTGTTTATAGAAATGGCGGTAGTAGCGCTGATTTTGGTAAAATATACAGCAATAACAGTCAACAAAAAATGGTATGCAAACTAAAACTTATAGGTACTGACGAGTGCTTGTTTACATTTAAACCTACCCGTTAGTAGTAATGATTTATTATACAAAAATCAAAAAGTACATAATCGATTTACAAAAGGAACCAACTGTGCATAATTTTAAAGATACAAAAAAAAATTAAGTCATTTTGTTTCGAGATATTGGGTCATATATTATTTTTCAACTGCCGACGAACAGATGGCGATATTTAAAAAAATATTGATATTTATGGGCTTATTCATTGGTGTATTAATGTGCTAAAATATAAATATATTTCATCGTGTGTAACAATAATCTTCGACGTCGTAGAGCCACACTGCAGCTATTTTATGGTTGCAGCACGAATGGGTCAGATTAACCGTGGTAGGATCACGCTCTCACAGATTACCAGCATAAAATAGCAACTTAATGCTGTTCCGTTTCGTATGGTAAATGTAAAGAACCAGAGACCATTTTTATTGGTAACAAAGCATTCTATTTTAGTCCTTAGGCGTAACAACGCATCCACATTTTGATACTTAATCGAGGATGTATGGAGGTGTATATAGGCCACAGTATCAACTCGCTATCAGATAGTCTGTAAAAATAAAACCTGGATTAATGTGGCAATAAAGATCAAATTCTTCGGTTTAAGTATGCAAAATATTATACCAGTTTTATACTCAAAACCATTTTTCAGGAATGTTTTAAATGATGATGGAGACCGCATCTCAATCAATCAAGTGGTTTTAGTTACAGGTATACGGGGTAAACGATGTTCTCAAATCGACAAAGAAAGATAGAAAAAGCGCTACACTTCAAGTGTCGTAGAAAACTTGCACACAACTCATACAAACATTTTCTATTTACTTTATATTAAAAGGCCACAGATGGACTCACACATATGCATGTTAAACTACATTGATGGTTGCAAATGATTTTATTCATAAAAAAAGTTTCAATGATATTTTAGTAACGTTAGCATTTCAGTATTCCTTTAATTGGTATTACTCTTTTGAAAAAATAAATCCAAAAACAGATATAGAAGATAGAGAGAGATATTTAATTAACAAATTCAAACTATTTTCATAAAAACCTATTAAAAACAAGTTCGTGCTGTGTTGCAAGCGGTTGGCAGATTTCCAACGAAAAGCTTTTTTTAGTCATTTATTCCAATTTTATATTTTCGTTTTGGTGTCAATGGGGCGACGTTGAAATGACATTTCTGTCAACTAACTCACGCCCCTGTCATGTAAATGTAAGTATTTTTAGTTATATTTAAATTACAAATATTATATACATACTGACAATTTATAATCAATCCAATGTATGTTAAAGCAAATAAATATTCATGCTATCAAAAACATAACTTGTAAAAAAACCAAGTCTCGCAACTCAGTTCTTCTACCGTAAAAAGTTGTGGGATCTATGTAATACAAAGTCGGTTAATTAATTCAGTCCCTACTTAAGGGTCCTTCTGTTTTAAGTTATTACGTAATTGGCTAACCTAATAACATTTTATAGTGTTATTAGGTTAGCTAATTACGTGTATATATTGTTCAATTCGAGAACAGTCATCCGAATGCATGGCGGGCACAAATCCATACCTATTACTACTTTGTTGTACAAGTACGACAATACCCTAAATTCAGAAGTTATCAACGAAGTAGGAGATAGCGCTTATACAGAAGCACTACCTCGTCCTAATTATGCACATTAAATAGTATTTAACACTATAAGCTTTAATATTACAAGGCTTTTTAGTCTAAAGATTAAAGCAGCAATATAGCCAAAAAATACACAACTCCGTGTTGCAATACTATAAATGAGAATACTCGAGCGTCGAGTTAC